ATTGTTGGATTTAATCTTTCTAAAAAATATGGTTATTTTCAAAGATTGTGTCTTTTCGATACAACTATTTTTTCAAGGGTTGCGTTATTTTTAATATAATCGCGTTATGGTTATTTTTAACCTGTTTATGATTATTTTCAAAAGTGACATCTTTTATATATAACTTTTTTTTCTCAAGAGTTGCGTTTTTCCGACATAACCGTTTTATGGTCATTTCTAGCGGTTGCGTTTTTTCGATAAAACTTTTTTATGGTTGTATGTTTTGGTTTTATCCTTTCGATAATAATCGTTGTATAGTTATTTCCAAATGTTGCATCTTTTCAATACAACTGTTTTTCAAGAGTTGCGTTTTTTCCGATATAACCGCTTTGTGGTTGTCATTTCGGAAAAAACCGTTTTAAGGTTTTATGATTATTTCAGAAATTGTGTGTTTTTGATATAACTGCTTTATGGTTATTTCCAAGGGTTGCGTCTTTTCGATATAATCGTTTTATGGTTATTTTCAAAGATTATATCTTAAAAAAGAAATATTTGACCTATATATTTGTGTGTTTTAACTCTATGTTTTTTTCGTTGAGAATTTTGTTTATTTATGGCTACTAATTTTAAAATCCACTCAAAGTATAACAAAGATAAAATTCGTCATTCTATTATTTTAAAATTATTTAAAAATATTTATCTTTCTATTATTCTAGAAGTTTATAAAATTTTTGATTTGTGTAAAAAAGTTTGGAATTTTTTAGACAATGCAAATTTTATGGTTGGTTTTAAACTATAAGATGATTTAATTAATGCATCATAACATTACGTTTTTTTTTAAACAAATCCTTGTGTGGTTACTATAACATCTAAAAGTTGCATCTTTTCAAAAAAATTATTTTATGGGTTATTAATCAAACATAGGGTTGCGTCTTTTTTTAAAACACTGTTTTATTAATATTAATGAATCATGGGATTTCATCATTCTTGAATAACCGTTTTATAAGAGGCATTTTGAAAACATTATCAAAACTGTTTGTAGTTGAATGAATATAAAATATATAGAAGAAAAATAACTTCAGTAGTTTGTGTTTGGAATGGATTTGATAAAATTATGGATATGTATGTTTGATGTTAAAGATCTTAAGTCCTAAAATTGCTTACATCAAAATTTTATTTAATATATATATATATTCTTCTTTACATTTATCGAATCTTATTTTTTTGGGTTCTACCTATAGATTTTCTTCCTGTCTTTCGCTCGCTTTAAATTTCCATTGAAAATCAGAATGTATGAGAACTTAAATCTAATTACAAAGCATATGAAGTCAACAGTGTTTTTGCGTTTATTGATCCAGGATTTAAAGAAAAAGTTGAACAAGACTTTTTTTCTAAGATTATGCTTCCGTTACACCAAAATTAAAAATTTACTGAGCAATTCAACATTATATATTTTAGTAAAATGTATAATACAAAAGTCATCTGTTGCATTAATTGAATAAAATCATAGACAATAAGATGTCTAATTTATTACAGAGCAACATTTGTCT